CCCCAAAACCCCAAAACCCCGACAATCAAAAATTTAAGAATCAGATTGAGATCTATATTTCCAATAAATAAAAATAATATTGCTTGAAGTATGAATAATCATCAGTAGAATAGCATGAAGCTCATGCAGCTTTTAGATAAGAAAAAACTAGAAGCTTTAAAAAAAGAATTTGAGTCATTTCCAGAGGGACTTGAACTATCCACATTTATCTGGTAATCTTTGATCTTTTAAACTTTAAATAAAGGTTAATGTTATGTGTTTTGGAATTTAAGGAAGATGAGAAATTTGAGATAGTGCAAGGTCTTGCATAGTTATTTTCAGAAGTTGATATTAATGATGATAAACACATGGAGTGGAGTGAATTCACATAATACATAATAGATTCTGTAATGATGAGAAAAGCTGGAAGAGAAGGGCCCAGAAGAAAGAAGCCTAAAGAAGAGAACTCAGACTAGAAAGAGTCGATCCTTAACGCATCTTTTGAAATTGATATGCCAAATGGAGGAGGAATGGAGGAAGAATATGAAGAGGAGGATTACGAGAGTAATTTAATGAATGATTCATCTGGGCAAGTATCAGTAAAGTAGGTAAAACCTAGAGGTAGGGGATAAGCACATATTATTCTGAGTCAGTCTGATTACAGACATTTTGATCATAGTGTGTCAATTTTCGATTAGATTTCTCACCAAAGTCCAATAATATAAAGTCAATATTGTGATAGGCTCGGTGGATTTCTAACAATAGAAGAATATTCGAAATAAGTAAAAATTTACACCCCAAATGGAACTGAAAAAGATAAGATAACTCTCAATAATGCAAAATAAAAGGTCTTTGCTATTGCCTTTACTTTCTCTGATAAGCATAATTTGGTAATATATGATTTTATGACAATGATAATATAGATAGCCTTTGTAACTAGTGACTGCTCCATTGAAATTTTTGACTATCAAAATAATGTTTTCATTCGATATCTAAAATAAATTCCAACACCCTGCATTCAGACAGGCATATGGTATCTACCAAGACACGATATTTGGCTTTCAGCTGGTAAAGACAACAAAATACATTAATGGAACATTTCAAAGTATGATGATGACCCTCCTTCTGCAATGCAAAAGTATAGCTTTGGAGGGCACACTGATTAAATCATGGATCTTGTTGAACTTAAAATCCCAAAATGCATAGCGACAGCATCTCTTGATAAGACTATTAGACTATTCAACATTGAGGAAAAGTACCTAATCAAAGTGCTCTACGGGCATGAAACAGGCATCAGAAAAATTAGCTATATTAGTAACTTTGGGGGTTTCTTTTGCAGTGTTGGCCATGAATCCTCAATATATGTCTGGTCTCCTGAGACTGTTTAAAATAGACCATTCATAGGAAAACTAAAAGGGTAAGATTATAATGATATTTTAGTATTTTAATTAGTCATCAATATCCAGTAGTAGATGCAAAATTTTTACCTAAAACGACATTGCTGATAAGTATCGATGAGAGGCTTATGATTAGAGTCTTTGATGTCTACACTTTTGAATGTAAGCAAACTATATTCCCTCAAAGGTAAATTATTAAATTCAATTCAATTTTAAAAGAGGTAATAAGCCGCCAGTGAATGGTATTTTGATATTCCCCAATTCTAGTGATAAATTTGTCTGGTATGGGAAAAGATTTATCTTCTTTGATACAACTCTTCAAGAGTAATAGCAGAGGAAATTTTACAAAGACGAGATTTATCCAATGAAAGTTTTGATGAACAAATATCATATGTCATTTTATGTTGTAACAAAGTATGATGTGAGAGTGATTGATGCTAAGTCTGGCTTGCTTTTGAAAGTATTAGATTAGATAGTGAATCATGACAGTGGAATTGAGATTGCTGATTTTGATTTCGATCATTCATATAGAAAGTTCTATGTAGCTGATACAGCTGTAAGGATTAAATTGCTTTTGAATTGCTAAATTTGATTATTAGGGAAATGTGAAATGTTTTAATTCTGGAAATTGCTTGCTTTTGAAAGAGGAATCATTAAGAAAACCTTATATGGCAAATGATTAGAAAGCATAAGACTAGGGTATGCTTGAGTATTATAGAGGTTAATCTAGTAAAAACGAGATTATTGAGATACACTATGATAAAGTAAAGGAAGCCAAGCTGTTCTATACAATTGATAGTGAGAACAACATAATCACATATGATGAGGATAGCAATGAGAACTTCTAATTTCTCAGAATGGCCTACAATAATCCATAATAGGAAATCTCTACTATGACACTTAGTTCTTATCATGGTCTTATAGCTACAGGATGTGCTTCTGGATTGATTTGTGTATTTTTATTCCATTATTAACTATTCACTACTTAGTTATGGGATTATGAATCAGCTAAGCTGGAGGCAGTCTTAATGCAGCATGAGAAAGATATCCTCACATTAGTTTTCCCCTAACCATAATATTGTCTGATATCAGCATCAAATGATGGGGAAGTCTGTTTTTGGGGACTCAAGCATAGCTAGAAATACAAATACTAGGTGTTTAAAAAATTCTAATACACTTATTACCTAGACAAGACCAATCTATCAAGCACTGTTCTGGTAAAGATTGACTAATAGTCTAAGCTTATATTTGGAGATGAATAAGGAAACGTGCAAAAGATAAATATAACTGATATTTTTCAATAGTTTAATATTCCTAGTAGTAAAAATCAAGCAGAGGCTTAATCTTCATTTAATGCTAAGAGGAAATACATACAAAATTGTCAATAGCTTTTCAATCCTTTATTCAGAGAGTAATTAGTAATTTTTTTATTTATTTGATAGGGCTAAGTATTGAAGGCTAGAAATGCCAGGAGATGACATGGACAAATATTTGGAAACTTGTTTATCTAAAGTTCACAATAGACCAATAAGCTTTATGAGGAAACTTGATGACCTAGATTGCATTGTAACTGCTTCTAGTGATGGATACTTCAAAATTCTTTCAACTAAGGATCTGAGTTTTCTTTGCATTGTAGACATACATAATCTCAAGAAAAAGCCTAAATAATGGGATCTGCCAATTGATTGGATTAGCAGGAAAAAAGAGGAGCTGATTAAAGTTAAGAATGTTCTTGAAGAGATTGAGCCTAATGTTGATCAAACAGATCTGTTCAATAAGATGATAATTAAAAACAAAATAGATGTTCCAGTTAAAAGTATCCAAGATAAAATATTTGGAGGAGGTCTCGGATCTTTCGGACTATTTGATAAAATTAAAGAAAGTTTATCTAAAAAATCTCTGCTTAAATAACTCAGAAGGAAAATAAATGCGAATATTTTCAACATTGATTAAAGTTCTTAATAGCATAGAGAATTCGCAGAGGCTGATGATGATATAATCAATGAAGATCAAGCTGAATTTAAAAGAAAAATTGATGAGATTTTCAAACAAGATACACCAACTTACAGTGGCTTTGCCAAAGAGCTTCAAAAAATGCTGAATAAATTATACACAGACAAGACTGGTATGTCAGGCTCAAATGGAAAGTACTCAAATAGATCAGCTGAATTGAAAAAGAGGTACAACTTACTATCTCGAGCAATGGGATCAAGGCTTCAAAATTAGAAATAGGTCAGTGAGATAAGCAAGGATAATTAGAGCAACAAGAATGATAATTTCTTGGCATAAAATGAGTAGCAATATAATATGAAGAGTGATAGGGGGAGAAATAATACTCAAAGAGGAATCCCCTTAAATAGTCAGTAAACAATCTAGACTATCAGCGGAAATACTCTCAGTATGTCAAAAGAAGCATCTTAAAACACTATAAAACATAAGCGAGGAATCTCGGATTTTACCTAAGCGACAACATACTTTTAAAAATCAAATAGTAAGATTGAAAATACTCTGTAGAAAACATTAAGTACTAATAGACAAGTCTCAAATCATAGCAAACTTCTTAATTAAGATATTGAGGAATCCAATCAAGCTAAAACTCATGTCTTTCTTCCAAGACTATAGTCCTCACACAGCCAGGCTATGCTAGGTAAGGACCTCAGCAGAAAGAATCTATAATAAACTATTTAGCCAAAGCAAAGAACAAGTATCATAAGTTACTATAATAACCTAGGAGAGTAGAAATTCAATGAAAAAATAGGGCAAACTTCTCAGATTCAAGAAGTTTAGTAAAAGCTTAGCTTTTCTCTTTCAAGGCCTAAGATTGGTTATCATCAGGAGATATCTATTTTGAACAATAATGCCATGGACTAAAGTATAAGTTCTCAATAGTCTAGATAGCATTATTCTATTTTGAAACAATCGACCCTTGCTCCAGATAGGAATAACCTAAATTTAACTAGGAATTTTTCAAGCTTTATTGATAACAAGGGTATGAGTGTATCTGAGCTGAAAAATTCAACTATAATTGGCCAGAATGATATGAGTAAAAAGATGCTTGAATTCTAGCAAGGAAAACTTATGAGAAAGCTTAGTAGAAGTAAATTCTTAATGCGCATGGCTCAAAATAATAAAACTAACGAGATTTTATGATTAAATAAATAAATAAGTCATTATTCTAATGATATTTGAAATTAAGGTTGATGGGGTTTTGGGGTTTTGGGG